ACATCTCTCATGAGGATTATGAGTGCCGCCAGAAATGGAGAGGTTTGGGCCCTTAAGTGTAAGTTATACCTCGACTTCAATTTTATTACACAATAAATTACTAAATACTACGAAATTTCCAAACTTTAAGTCTTTGACGCACAGCCCCGACCCCCATCAGGAATGGTAGACATGAGTGGACCCACATTTGGTAATTACGACGAGTGTGTGAATATTGAAAGTCCCGATGAAGAAGATAAACCTAAAATCTATGGACAATACTGTGGAATGGATATCAGGGAAAATATGGATATAACTCCCCATTCAGTGCCCCGGGAATATCTGGAAAACATTGGCCAGAAATTGCCTCAAAACACAGCTTTCAATTACAAAAACTTTTTCAGTCAATTCTTTGAAAACTACAGGAAAGTTATCTATCGTATGACACCCAATGATCTCTCGGAAGGCATTGAGTTCATTGATAACACGCTGTTTGATAACATAAGACTAATGAACGGACTTTGTTTGCCCACAACTTGTAAGGCTAGCGATGTGTCCGCAGCCCTCACCGAATGTAAGCTTTTGTTTTAATGTTAATATATGTCTGTTATATTCATGAAATCAATCTATACTTCAGTCTCGTATCCAATTACTCGACTTCCGATCATTTTAAACGACGACTGCGATTATTTGGGAAAACCTATTAAACTCAATAAATATCAAATAATCTCAGTGTATTAACAATTTAAAGTTTGATAACTTATCTTTAAACATATTTTTTATTTATATAGTGTGGCCATCAGTGCTGTTGTGATCACGTTTGTGTTGAGCACTTTTATTGATTGTCTACCTCCTGGATCATTTATTAAACGATTAATAAAAGGGACTTCAATTGCATTTGTTTTTTTTATTTATATAGTGTGGCCATCAGTGCTGTTGTGATCACGTTTGTGTTGAGCACTTTTATTGATTGTCTACCTCCTGGATCATTTATTAAACGATTAATAAAAGGGACTTCAATTGCATTTGTAGTAAATTGTTTTGCCGCCAGAAATAGCGCCAAATCTATGTTTAGTCTCAAACAATACGGAAAGTTCAAGGCATTGGACGGATATCGGGCCTGTCTTACCATTTGGGTGGTTATCCTTCACACCTATGAGTTTGGATGTGTAGTCCTAAACAACAAAAACTTTTTTCTCAGCTCTTCTTATAAAATGATTCACGATTATAGAAATATGATTTTTCCAAATATATTGGAATACCTATTGAAATACTATTAGTGTCCAAAACTTAAACAAAATAACTAATAATCATTAATTAATCTTATTAAACAAACAACTTATCCAAAATATAACACATTATGTTACGATAGTTTTGAGCTGTAAAGTAATGGACAGTTTAATTATTTAAATTATTTAATTTTCAGGTAATGTGTATTATTATATATAATAAAATTTAATTAGAGAGTAACTTACTATTATTTCTTAAAATTTGATAGATATCTACGATTAATGCCTATTATTATATTCGCATTGTTTATCACCTATTTATATGAATTTACTGGTTCAGGTAAATGTTTGTCATATTTCTACTTTTAACATAATTGATTAACTATTCTATTGGAAAATATTTAATCTTGTTACAAAGGTCCATTCTGGAGAACTGTGCTTGTATATTTTGTTGAACCTTGTTATGAGAGATGGTATAAACCATTGTTAATGACAAATAATATACTTTACTATCCAAATGAAAACACTACTATTTTGTCATCATTTCAGGTTTGTTTGAATGATTAATATATTATAAATTGTTATTAATATTATTTTTTCATTTTTTAACAGTGTTTGACAATAACATGGTTCGCATTCATTATATCAGTTTTCTACTTTTAACATAATTGATTAACTATTCTATTGGAAAATATTTAATCTTGTTACAAAGGTCCATTCTGGAGAACTGTGCTTGTATATTTTGTTGAACCTTGTTATGAGAGATGGTATAAACCATTGTTAATGACAAATAATATACTTTACTATCAAAATGATAACACAACTGTTTTGTCTTCAATTCAGGTTTGATTGAATGATTAATATATTATAAATTGTTATTGATATTATTTTTTCATTTTTTAACAGTGTTTGACAATAACATGGTTCGCATTCATGATATATCAGTATTTATATGTTTATTAATATTCCATTGTTATTTATATTAAGGTATTCATCAATGTATTTTCAATTGTATGCAATGGCACCGATAGCTTTCCTAGTGCTATATAAATTAGGCCGGAAAGGTGTGTACTGGCTATTAATATTACTGGTAATAGGAATCCTAATACCCCCGTTCAATCGGTTTGTGATGGGAGACCTACATATATATGAGATACTAAATCACCCAAATGTAACACTACTATTTTGTCATCAGTTCAGGTTTGTTTGAATGACTAATATATTATAAATTGTTATTGATAATATTTTTTCATTTTTTAACAGTGTTTGACAATAACATGGTTCGCATTCATTATATCAGTATTTATATGTTTATTAATATGCCATTATTATTTATATCAAGGTATTCATCAATGGATTTTCAATTGTACGCAATGGCACCCATAGCTTTTCTAGTGCTTTATAAATTAGGCCGGAAAGGTGTGTACTGGCTATTAATATTACTGGTAATAGGAATCCTAATACCCCCATTTAATCGGTTTGTCATGGGAAACCTACACATATATGAGATACTAAGTCACCAAAATGCCAAACAAATAATGTTGGGCTGGAGAATCCACTATTGGGCACCTCTTAACTACATTCAAACCCAAATCATAGGCATGTTATTGGCCTACGCTGTCAGATATCATCCGAAAGCATACTTAGGCGGACCTATAGGTCATGTGATTATTTGGTTCATCACTTTCTCTATAACATTGGGTCATATGTATTGGCAAAAGGATATGATCATGCCCGGTTTTGAATATGGTCCATACGAACAATATCTCTATCTATTTTTTCACAAACCATTATATCTATCGTGGTTTGCATGGCTTATATACGGCACGTCTACTGGCAGATGGGGTTTGAATTACTATTTTAGGACTTATTTTGAATATAATTATAACAAAAGTATAATTCTTAGGTTTTCTAAATGACATAATTGGATGGAAAGGGTTTAAAGTAGTCGATAACATGTCACTCGAGATCTATATTGTATGCTAAATATAATTAATGTCTAAAATAACAATCAATTTTAATTATAAACACATTAATCCAAACAGATGCACGTATTTGTGTTTGTGTACAGAATTGGTGTTCAGCGAGAACTTCGTACATATAATGAATACTATATCGTAAGTTATTTTAGTTAAAGCTCTTTGAATCCCAATTCATAAATACCTTAAATATAGTGGTCTTCAGCCATCGCTGACTTCGTGTCCTCCTATGTGTTGGCAGTAATGGCAGGCTTTCTGGTGTCGCGACCCTTCGCCGCAATGACTCAGGCGTTGATTAAACCCAAACCAAAACCCAAAGCCGTGTCCAACGAAGAAACGGATAAAAACTCAACAAATGTTGAAAATAATAATAATAATAATGTTTCTGAAGATATCTCTAAGAATACATTTCCTATTCTCGATGCCCAAGCCATCCAAAACTTGAATGTAATTGAACTCAATTCAGATAAAGTTGTGTATCGTTTATAATTAATGAGTATATTTATAAATATATTTTATAATTTTCAGTATATTCTTATAAAATATCCATCAAATACAAGAATGAAGCTGATAAATCTTGTATAAAATTAGGCAATATATTTTTATACAACTATATTTTACTTACCACATTTTTACAAAATATTTAGATAAATTTATTATAATTTTTAACTAATTAAATAAAAAAATAAGAAATACTTTTTACAATTGAAAAACTAGTATACTGTAGTATGTATAGAAAAAACTAAATATAAACTTTATAATATAATAAATATCAGTTTATAATTTATCATTATTTTAAATGATAAGAAATAGAAATTGAATATTTAATTAATAATTAACATAATATAATTTGATTAAAACTATATTCTATCGTTTTTATGATTTTTATAAGTAATTCTAAAATGAAGTATATTATTAACTAAGTGTTCAGATTAATAGTGTGTTGTATAAAAAATTTTACTTGATTCTTGCATAATTTTCTTATTATGTTATCATTTCTTATCATAATCGGATTTTTGTGCTTACACAAATTTAAATGAAACAATATAAACAATTTATAAAAATTAAATTCGAGTAAATTTAGTTCATTAATTTTGTAAGAAATTTTTCTATAATTATAATATAAAGATCATGATACTTTTTAAAAATTCCATTAAAATAAACTACATTTAGAATTAGATTATTCTAAAATAATTAAGTTAATTGATTGAGAACATACTGTAAAAGTCTAATATTAATAAGACTTAACTGTTTAAAAGATTTCATTAGCATATTGTAAGGACATGTGTTCAATTGCAAAATAGATACACGGTAATAGCTATGATTAAAATTGCAAAATAAGTCACTTTTTCCTAATTTTACAAACCTTGAGAAAAGTGTAAAATACCTAACATATATTTGCCTGTAAAGACATTAATAAAAACCACAAGTTTCTGGACTAGAATTAATCTTATTGTTCATTTTGAATTATTAATTTAATTTATTAATTTATTAATCTACTTAAAATGATTATTAGATTTAATTATTATTTAATAATTGTTATGCTATTGTTTAGCAAAAGTATTTATGGATTAGATTCCGATGATTATGACTATACTGTTAATGAATCAAATAGTAGTGATGTATCAAAGGATGACTTTTACAGTACTTCTGATAGCAATCACTGTTCGGAAGATAAGATTATCGATAGATTTGTTGATATATTTATTCCCGACGACTACGAGGAGGGAAAGGCTAATATAAAGACATCTATGGGTACTCTCAATGAGACTCTGGAAGCTATGAATCGGTTGCAAGTTTTTGGACAAA